AGGCTCTCAGTTGGCATAAGCTATCAAATCTAGAGGCATAAATGCCAAGCAGGGTGCAACTCCTATAGGATAGCCACAAGCATCATCCATGTCTTCTTGTCTGTATAATAATCTTCTTCAAAGTTGCCTGGTTGGATTAACATACTTTTTGATGCTATAGAGTCTGCCATGCCAGGAGAGTTTAATGGCTTTTTATTGGAGTTAGATCAGAAGCCTTTTCTTATGCAACCTTTCCTGCTTTGACCTGTTTTCAGTCCACAATCATTAGAAAAACCAGAGGTTCTATCTTCATGCAATCTAACTGAATTTGATCATGATCTGGATGTCTGGGTACAATATTTGTAGCAATCTGGTAAACCTACAAATAAAGGATAAATTTATACATTTGCCCCTTGTGGGTATTGAACTAGGGACATGTATTTGGAGATCATGAAGCACTACCTACTGTGCTATTGATCCACTGGTCCAAACTTTTTTTTTTTGTTTTTGTTTTTTAATAAATTATTAGAACTTTGAATAGAAATAGATGATGACTCATCATTACTATTGCTTTTTTCTTTATCTTTATCTGATAAAGAAATAAAATCACTAAAGTTATTATCATCCATTAAAAAAAAATAAAAAATAAAAAATAGGTGTATATATGTATAATATTATTGATTTATTTATATATTATACGAATTTAATTTTAATTAATTAATTTAATTACATAATTATCAACTAATTGATAATTAACAATTAGTTATAATTGAATTAGTTGATAATTAATCAATTAGTTGATTTGATAATTTTTTTAATCGATTAGTTGATTAGTTGTCAATTAGTTGATTTTTCAATTAACAATTTGAATCACTATTGCAGGTAATAATTTTGATATTTATTTCTAAATAAGTAAGCAAAAATAAGCAATTTTATTTATTTCCAAAATTATATCTAGAAACAAATATATTAAAGATGAGTATTCAGATATAAAAATTAGAGTTTGTGTATACAAGTAATTCAACTTATATGTATTTTACAATAAAATTAAATAAACTTCAAATATATTTGTTTGATTATGAAAAAAAAATTATATTACAAAAAAACTCTTTTTTACTTATTTTTATTTTATTTGAAAACTTTTTTTAAAAAAATTTTCTCTTTTTCTATAAAAAATAAAACTCTATAGAAAGTGAAGTTTAAGATATATTGTTATTGTATAAGATTTTTTTTAATTATTAAATATTATTATTCTTCAAGAAATATATATATATAATATATATAATATTGATTGATATATATAGTATTTAAAGAAATACTTTAGTTTAAAAAAATATGAGCTAATTAAATCTGTATATGACAAAAGTCTAAGACAAAAAAAGAAAGATTTTAGATTAGAATTAAGACTTTTAATAGTATCACTTCAATATCAGTTTGATATTTAAATTTATTATAGATCAGTATCATTTTAATATCACTTTGATACTAGTTCAGTACTTTTCAGAGCCCTAATTAAGATCAATCTTTTTTGTAATAAGACTTTATATATATTTGGCAATAACAAGCAAGTGATCAATTTTTTTCTCTTTTTTTCTTTCTTTCAATTCTTTTTTCTGTCAATAAATTATTTTTTGTTTCCTTAAAAGTTTTTTTCTAGATCTTTTTTTTTTTATCTATAACTATTTCATTAATTCTTTAAAATATTAATACTTTTGTATTAATTAAACATATATCTTATTTATGTTGAAACTATTTTTATCAAAAAGTATAAAAACTTTTTCTTTTGCTCAAAAAACTTAATTTGAAAAAGGTTATAATGAAATTATTTTAATTAAAAGTTAAAATCAAATTATATAAAAATTGTCAAAAGTATATATATTGCTAAAATTTATAAATCCTTGATATAATTAATACAATTATTTAATACAATTAATTGGATTACTATTAAAATATATAATTGTTTTTAAGAATTTTGGGAATTAAGTTAACTGCTAAATAATTTTTATTATATATACAGAGGGTGAACATATTATTGTGGATACTTAAAAAAATTTTTTTTTTTTATAATGAAGTTATAAATATATAACTAAAACAATATGTTTATTTAATATCAATATTTTGTTGACCCTCCTTCAGCCGCAATGCAAGCCGCAATTCGTCGTGGCATACTTGCGATCAACCACTGACACATCAATGGAGATATGTCATTCCAACATTTTTGAACAATTTGATCCAAATCAATAAGACTTGCGGGTTTAGCTTGAAAAACCTGTTGTTTAACAATGTGCCACAGGTTCTCAATTGGGTTAAGGTCTGAACTTTGAGGTGGCCAGTCCATAACCCGAATTTTATTAGTGTCAAGAAATGCCATGATAATCTTTGCGGTGTGTGGGGGCACGTTATTGTGCTGAAAAATGGGACGGCCGCTGTGAGACCAATTAGGAATATTATCAATTTCCGGTAAGAGATATTCTTTAAGTATGTTGATATAGGATGCCGCTGTAAAAAAAATTTAAAAAAAAATTTAGAAAAAAAAAAAATTCGTTTCTTTTTCTTTTCGCTTTTCTGTCTTCGTTTTCTGATTCTTTTTTTTCCCACCTTTTTTTTTCATCATTTTTTTCTTCATCATGCCTGTCTATATATATCTCATCCTTATTTTATTTTTTTTTTCCTCATTCATCCACCCTTTCTCCCGTTCGTCCATTTACCTTTTCTTCCATTTGTCCATTTACCTTTTCTTCCATTCGTCCACTCTTTCTCTCATTCGTTCATCTACCCTTTCCCTTATCCACTATCCACCCTTTTTTCTATCTCTTTTTCATTTATTTCTTCATTAATATACATACCTTTTACCGACTTATATAGAGGAACTAGAGGGCTGACTCTGAACCAGGAAAAACACCCCCAGTGCATTCGACTTGGGCTGTATTTGACGGTGGCAACCAAACAGTCAAGATCTTATTCTTCACTTGGTTCACCCAGACTTGACAGTTTCGTACTTGCTGAAACTGGGTAAACATGGACTCGTCACTCCATAATACTCTTTTAAAATCTTTCACAGTCCACTTTTCGTGGTCACGACACCAGGCAAGACGTTTTGCAACGTTATCGCTTGAGATGAGTGGTTTTTTACGGGCAATGCAACTTTTCAGCTGCTCCTTATGAAGAGCATGACGAATGGTCTTTTCTGATATCTTTTTTTTTGTTTTTTTATAATAGAGAGAATTCAATTTAGCAGCGCATAAATGCCGATTCTTGATAGCAAGCTTTTTAAGAACGTCACGGTTAACGGTTGACGATCGCCCAATTCTTTTTGCTCATGATACGGCTGATTCGGTCTTCAAAAACTTGTTAACTACTGAACCTACAGCTGATTTTTTACAACCAACTTGAGCTGCAATAGTACGATAGGAATCATTATTTTTATAGCCATAAATTATGGCTGCTCTCTGTGCATCGGTGAGATCTTTTTTGGCGCCCATATAAAAATAGAAAAGAGGTTATCACGAAAAAGTCACGAAAAAAAAAAATATCAATAAAAAATTTTTTTAATAATAACTTTATTTATTTATATACATACATATATATAATTACATATAATAAATATACTATAAAAATTTTAACTAATTTTATTATGTATAATTTTTTTTAAAAAAATTTTTTTAAGTGTCCGCAATAATATGTCCACCCTCTGTAAAGTAAATCATATCTAGCATTTCTGTCGTCTTCAAAAATAATTATCCAAATTATAAATTATAAATTTTTTAAATTTGTAATATTAAATAACAAATTGTATAATTATTAAAAATTATTATTATGTAATTTTGCCAAATAATTAAATTAAATTGTATAATGAAAGATTAACTATTGATTATCATTATATCAATAAATTTTATATCAATAAATTAAATATTATCATATTATTCAATTATTGTTAAAATTTTACTAATTTTTTAAATGTTAAAAGAAATTTAATTTGACCAAACAATAAAAATATAGCATATATTTTTTAATAATTTTTTATTAAATTAATTGTAACTGAACAACCAAATGATATAATTTAAACAAGTGTTATATTATCATGTAATGCAATATGCAAATATACAAAGTACTATGTGTTGAACAATGTCCTGCTAGTGCAAAAAAAAATCTTTTCTAAATAAATGCATTAATAACATCTTTTTGACTTGAACTGGATCCAGGCCATTCAAATATACGTGATTTAGGATTTAGGATTTAATATAAAGTTTTTTTACAATGACATTAATTACTTGAAAACTTGATTCAATTAATTTTTAAAAAATTTTAGATATATTATGATCATTGAACGATTATTAAATATAGGGACTTATAAAAATTATTTAAAAATTGTATATAGAGTAGATTACTTCTTTATAAAAATAATATACCAAATATATAATATATAACTTTATACATACTGTGTATAAATTAGATTTGTTAAAATATTATTATATAATCGATAGGAACAGAATATATATTAATCAAATAATATTTTTAGATAATAATGGTGCTTATCTTAATTACTAATTTTTAAGTTATGACAAGGTTTATAATTTCACCAATTTTGTCCAAAGACTTTTAAACAGGCTGTATTTATGTAGAATATATTATCACAGATTACTAATTATTCGATATTTGTTATCCCATTGGAAATCGTTGATTGTTTGATAAAACACTATCAAAAATAGAAATTGTTATGGTATGGCAAATATGAAATAATTTCCAATTGTTTGAATCGTTTTTCCTGCTAAGCAGATGTATTTGAAAAAGAATATTTTATACATTCAATGTTCTCTTTGCATATCAAGTATCAAATATGAAATACTTATAAAAGTTGTATTCCAAATTACTTTAATTCATCCTTCCTACTTATATGTTTATCGAGCATCCTTCTTATTTAAGCTGGTGAAAAAAAATTCGATCGATTTATTAAATCGCTAGTAATCTGATTTCGCGCCTAAATCATAGAACTCTCGAGGAAACAAATTGCATGACGTATGCTATGCACTCCTGTTTTTGTAGATTTCCAATATGTACAAATTAGGTTTGACAACTCCTCCTTTGTCCACCATATCCATACCGCTATTCAAATTCGCAAATGATAAGTCCATTTTCGGCATATCACAATTAGTGTTACGATGTCTACCAAGACATGCATAATCTGGAAATCGAATACAACATTGCACAAAAATTAGCAAAAAAAGTGAAAGGAAGACGGATTTGTTTATCCGTTAAATAACAATGGCATTTTAGGATCGTCATTTATAGTGCACATGTGACATGATAAGGTTTGAACGACACTTAAACGAATTCCAAAAAAGTTAATGTAGCGATTTGCATATACGGCATTATTTCAACACTATTATGGAACTACTTTAATTTATGTGGTATCTTTTTTATGTATGATATAGGTTCTCGAGCGATAAAAGTCTTACTGGATTATTTTATTAAAATGTCAAACATTATTGTAAATGGTGGGTTAGAATGGAAGTGAGAAAGGAAACAATACAAAATAGATCAGTCATATGCCGCGTGCACAAAATTTTCATCATCATTATTGTTGTCAGTTGTTTCATATCCCAAATTTTACTCATAATAAAAAGAATGACAGTTACGATAAAAGACCAAGAAAACCCAACAACGCAAGGCACTAATTGTTTAAGTATTTGAATCCCATTTCCATCTATGGCGCCACCATCAATTATCTGATTATTGAGCATCGCAATCCTTTGATCGGC